TATTTAAAGTATTACAACAAATAAAATAATTTAGCATCTAAAAATGACCACATGTTATTTTTAATTGTGTTCTAGTATTCAGTTTTTATATTATATTGTACGAAGTTCATTTAGTTACCCCATACTTAATATTGCTTGTGGTACAAATTCTTTTAATTTGAAAAGTATACCACCGAAAAACTCCTGTTGATAAGGGCCTTTATTTAAGTTCAACTCAGGTCCAACTTTACGTAGGATCGGCACTGATTGAAAGCTATAAGAATATACCCCTCACCTCACACAATTTGGACAATGCGAATTCTTTTGGACTAATATAAGCAATAATGATATGTGCACATAATAACTTTGGGTTTTCAAATTAATAATAAGAAAATCTTAATAATAATAATAATAATAATAAACAATAATAGCAACAACAACAATAATAATAATAAACAATAATAGCAACAATAATAATAATAATAATCATATATATATATATATAATGATGATGACGATGATTATGATTATGATAATGTTTATAAGTTTATCTTTATATAATATAAAGCAACAAAATTCCTACATATTTTGGCACAAAAATCAGGACTATAATGCATAAAATACTTAAAATAATAACAAAAAATAAGCATTCCCACCGAATCATGCACCGACGACTATAAATAGTCAAAATTTTGGGACAAAATTTGGGACTCTATCACATATTTTTTGAACTGATTTAAAAAAATCCTATTCATATAATTATTACCCATGTACACTTGAAGGCAACATGCCAACATTGACATTGAATCCGTTTAAGTGCACATGCAAGAGTATTTGAACATCATTGATGCATAAAGGATATCGAACCATAAATTAGGACTAAATTAAAAGTTGGTGTTCCTATTATGCTAATGAGAAACATTGGCCAGTCATATGACTTATATAATGAGTCTTGCATGCTTATTACTTGGTTGTGTAATTGCATTTTGGAGGTGTAGGTTATGTATCTAAAAAAGTATTGGTCAAAAGCTTTGACTCCATGATTTTCATTGGTGGTCCCGTAAATTAACATTTTTCCCTCAAAATTCAGCGCAAGTGGGCATATATTTCTTCCAAAATATGTTTTTACGCATTGTCAATTGTACGTTACCACATCAAGTGACCTCAAGAAGTGGGTTGAAGATTCTTATTTGTAGTCTATAAAAAAGTTTTTGAACATTTATATTGATACCTTCTGTACATTGTCAATATATATATATTTGTTGTGTTTTTATAAATTTTCATGTGACTCATTAATAGTTGTAATATCATGTTATCTCATTATCTCATAGAGTTTATTGTCACACATAGTGGCAGACCCACTAAGGGTCCCACGGGATCCCGGGATGGCGAGACACCACGTACTTCCAAAAAATACCTATATATAATATATTATACGGAGTATATGTTTATATAAATTAATAACATAATGTATATTTAAAGGGTAAACTAACTATGAATGCAAACAATTCGCTGGAGCAACGGAAACTGCTCGATTTTGAAGCGTTTATGCACGCGGTGTTACGTGGTTCGATTCCCGTTGATAGGTTGATGCCCATTTTTTTGTTTTTCAAAATTTATTAGTAAACAAAAGTATTTAGATACGTGTATATTTTACTGGAGCAGTGATATTAGATTTGTTTTTGAAGCTTTTGCTCTTTAGGAGGTGCTGGGGTCAATTCCCATTGACATCACTTTTTTTAATTTATTGTTCAAAATGAAATTTTAAATTTTTAATGGAAATCTTTTATTTCTTCCAAAAAAATGGAAATCCTTTGTTGTCTGGTCAAGTTTTTTTTTTTAAACACAAATTCAATGATAAAAATGTTCCTTTATGTTTTGTTAATTTTTTCATCTCTTATTGGGCAATGATTTTAGCACATTAATGATGGCAAAAGAATGTTGTATTTATCTCTAATTCCTCTTTATTGGATTAAATTCTAAAACAAAACAATGGGTGGGTGAGAGAGAGATTAAATTAGAGGCAATAAGATCTTAAATCATAATATAGAGGCAAGAAGAAAATGCAATGTTTTACCTTTAATTATTTTCTTCATGTATGTGCTAGGATTTGAAAATATGGCAGTGGACAATTGAGAAAAAATCACTTCCATCCAGTCCTATAATTTTCTTCTAGCTTCTCCTGGCATATGACCATTCAAAATAGACAATAAGAGACAATGGCGTATCGAGAAAATTTGCTGAGTGGAGGCAAACTTACAGTAGAACTTATCACATATTTTACAAATAGCAAATCACATTATTAATATCATTTGATTAGACGTAGTTTAAGTTAGAAATGCACAAGAATGCATAAAAAGAAGTTCAGTTTATATTACGTATGTGCAAAGATGCAATTGCAGATATAATTAGAGAAAATTATCTAAATAGAAGTTAAATATAATAAAATTTATGAAGTTTTATCCTTTTATTTGTTTAATAGGATTAAATAAATTCTATACGTACGGAGAAAACACTCTTCATCATATTTTAGAAATTTTCATATGTTTGCCTCCTAGCTATTTTAAGCAAACCCGCCTCTCTCTCTCTCTCTCTATATATATATATATATATAGAGTAATGATCCTGTCCAGCAATTTCCTGTCCGAACAGTGTCTGAACATGGACATTTGGGGCACTTCCCGGTGAAATTGTTTGATGAAATGTTTTGAGCATGTTTCTCACCAAGTCTAGTTTGTCCATACCAAATTTCAGCTCAAAATTCGACCGGGAAGGCAGTCAAATCATTTTTTTAAGTTGACTGCGCCAAAATATACATATAAAAACGCAGTCAACTTCAAAAAATGATTTGAATGCCTTCCCGATCGAATTTTGAGCTAGAAGTTGGTGGGGACAAACTAGACTTGGTGAGGAACATGCTCAAAAAATTTAATCAATATGTTCCACCGGGAAGGGCCCCAAATGGCCATGTTCGGACGGAGGCTTCTGTCCGAACGTGGGGACCTGAACATTCTTGTATATATATATATGTATATATATACATCTATATATATGTATATATATATATATGTATATATATATATATATACATATATACATATATATATATGTATATATATATATATATATATATATATATATATTCAGGGACGGAGGTAGGATGTAATGTGAGTGGTGTCAAAGTAATATACCGACGAAAATTGCCCTAAGGGGCGCAAATCATATCAGGTCGACCTCACGGGAACCTCCGTCAAACCGAGGCCATTTGGGGCCCTTCCAGATGGAATTTATTGATCATATATTTTGAGCATGTTTTTGATTAAGTCTATTTTATGTCCAGCAAATTTCAGCTAAAATTTCAACCGGGAAAGCAATTAAATAATTTTTTTACAAAAATTGAGCCTTAAATATATATATGTATATATATATAAATATATATATATATACACATATATATATATACACAACGCAATTTTTGTAAAGAATTTAGTTAAGAATTAATTCCACTTTTGGTCCTACAAAATTTGTGTCAATTCCACCTTTAGTCAACATCTTTCTCTTTGTCTACTTTTGGTGCTTGACTAATGTTTTTAACCGACTATGGTCCTTTTCCGACAATTTTAACCATCGAAACAATGCCGAAAAGACCATATATGGGCGAAAACACAATAACCATGTATCAAAATTGGACAAAGTAAAAGATGTGGACTAGATGTGAAATTTACCTAAAACTTGTAGGACCAAAAATGGAATTTATTCTTTAGTTAACTATCTTCCCCATTGAACTTTAAGCTGAAATTTGGTTGGCAAAAAAGAGACTTGATGAAGAATATGCTCAAAAAAATTCATCAATCAAATTTCACCGAAAATAGCCCCAAGTGGCCTCGGTCGGTCTTAAAGGATCGCTACTATTACAGTCTTACCCTAAGTGAGCGTAAAAATAATGTTAATTTTAAATTAGGAGTATTATATTATTGTTTCAGTTTCTTATTAAATATTATCAACATTATTCTTTCAAGTTTCAATCATACACCAAAAAACTCGTGAGATAGGGCACTATATTATATATTGACACTTTTTTAAAAAAACTAGTGGTGTCACTTTTAACCCTTTCAATCTATATATACATATATATAAAATAAATGTATAGTTTGAGTGGTGTCATTTATAACACATTCAATTTATATATAAATATATATACAATAAATATATAATTTGTGTGGTGTCATTTGACACCATAACCCAACACTTGGCTCCGTCCCTATATATACACACACACACATATATACTAGCGGCGTTCGCACTACGTGCGATTTGTGCCCAAATGATTACTACACATGTCTAATTTATTTAGAATTCTAAAAATATAAAAGTTTTGAATTAATAAAGCCAATTTAATTGATCTTTCGAAAATTGAGAATTTGCTTGATGTACATGCTATACCTCCAAATTACAGTAACTTGTGTTTTAAGTAATCAAAATATGCCTCACAAAGTAATGGTAAAAGTTAAAAAAAGTAATGGTAAAAGCTAGTAAACCTTTTGGGATAGGAGGAAATATATGTACTCCCTGATTTTCAATATGAAGTAGTCTTTACTCCACCTGTGTCAACTTCATGTACCAAATCAACCCTTTTCTCGATTTTATGATGTCTTTACTTAGATCGTCCTATATTAGACCAAATCAGATCAAACTTAGATAGTTATAAAATTGGCAAAGATGGAACATTTATCATATCAGAACAACAATTTTTAGTCCAAAGAAAAATATCTTTAAATATGCCATTTTTATAATTTTTGTGGTTGCTTTTGCTACTGGTGCTAATCGTGCCACCGGACTCGTGCCGCGAGTATGCAACTACAAAGCTAGCGGAGCAATGACCACGATATACCCAATGACCTTCCTACACGTGGGCAAGTTTAATTGGCTACTGATTCTATGGACGACTTTTCATTTCCAACAGGCAAATGACTGACTGACTGACCATACCACTTACCGGCCCACCAACTCCATACCGGCAGCCATCGGAGATTAGATCTAAGCCGTTCATTTTATCAACAAAATATAAATGCGAGAAGCCTAGAACCTTCTGACCTTGAGCTCTTATATATTTTCTCTTCCGTTACACTCCCCACATTTGCTAGATTGCTCTTGCACTGAACCCCGTCTCGTCGGAGGTGAGGAGTCGTTTTCGTCGATTGTAGCCGATTTAGTTTCCATTTGTTATTCTTTATGTTTTGACTGCTTTCCAGATTTGTTTATTTGTTTTTTCTGCAATAATAATGTAAATCTGCGATTTTCAGCTTTTTTATATCGGATTCTATAGCTGAGCTTATCTGCCATGGGGAAGTCTTATCCAACTGTGAGTGCCGAGTACCAGAAAGCTGTAGAGAAATGCAAGAGGAAGCTTAGAGGACTCATTGCTGAGAAGGGATGTGCTCCACTCATGCTTCGCATAGCGTAAGCTATCTCACTCTTTTCTCACTCTATCTCACACACATACAGAAATAGATGCCTATATGTATATTGATATACTACTCGTAGTATATGTGTTTGTACATATGAATAGATCTAAGGTCTTTTTTACCTTTGACTTGTACATGTTTAGAGGTTTTGCTTGGGTTTTTATCATCTGTTTGATTTCTCTTGCCTGTTAGCTTTGTTGGCGATCTGATTGATGTGTATGACTCGTTTATCTGTATTATAGGTATTTTATCTGTCGTTGATTTGTTATGTGCTTGTCCTGTTTATCGTTCTATCATTCTATGTTGTGGTTGACTTTGTTTGCCTCTGTGAAAGTAAATGTGTCCTTGCTTTTGGAAATAATTCATACCCTAGATCTGCAAGTAAAAAAACAAGTCGATTTGTAATCGTGTCCTTGCTCTTGTATTTCTACCTCTGTAGAACGTAATTATTGGTTGGATGAGTTTTTTAATTGTACCTTTTGGTTAAAGAATAAAAGTTATTGCACAGGAGTTGCCTATCGCCTAGATTCTTGCTAGAGTTAAATATCCTACTTAATTAGTGATTGGGTGTAGTAGAGCCACATATTTTTTGTGTAATGGATAATTTTCATACTGTGTTAATGTGATTTAATTAGCAGTATGTCTTAATATATTTTCTTTTCAGCTCCATTTTTGTGTTAACCATTTATTTTCGTTGCTAGCTGACCCCAAACTCTTGAAATTAAGGCTTATATGTTGTTGTTGGCTTGTTGCTTACAATTTTTTATTGCTTTTACCCTTAAACTATGCATTTCTTGAAATTATATAAATACATTTATCGAAATGGAAAACTTATGAGTGTTCCTATGGTTTATATCAGATGGCATTCAGCAGGTACTTATGATGTGAAGAGTAAAACAGGAGGTCCCTTTGGTACAATGAAGCATCCTGAGGAACTCAAACATGGAGCAAACAATGGCCTTGACATCGCTGTTAGGCTTTTGGAGCCAATCAAGGAGCAGTTTCCCATCCTCACATATGCTGATTTCTATCAGGTGATCTATTGAAACAACATTGTCTAAAGCTTTACTGTGTTTGTTGTTTTTTCCTTTTCCCCTCATCTAATATTTGTCTGACATTTGTGTACATTTATATACACTTGAAGTTGGCTGGAGTTGTGGCTGTGGAGATTACTGGTGGCCCTGAAGTACCTTTTCATCCCGGGAGGGAGGTATGTGTGATTATCTCTGTTTAGAACCCATCTGTTTCTCAATCGTAATGTTGTTGTTTCATTTGGTTGTATATAAATTGATCAAGTCTTTGTTCCGTGATAATGTCAAGCTCTTATGTTTTTCAGGATAAGCCAAACCCTCCTCCTGAAGGTCGCTTGCCTGATGCTACAAAGGGTTTGTGTTTATTTGTTTATCTTTGTTGTAGTTTAGGTTTAGGCTTTTGAAGTGTGGTTTGATTAAAACTGCTGCTACTACAGGCTCTGATCACTTGAGAACTGTTTTTGGAGAGCAAATGGGGCTGAGTGATAAAGACATTGTTGCCCTATCTGGTGGTCACACCCTGGTATACATAGAAATAGATATATATGTGTAGTTTGACCACAACTGTTGTTCGGTTATTTACTGATGGAGAATGATGGGCCCTTTTCTCTGTTTAGGGCAAATGCCACAAGGAACGTTCTGGATTTGAGGGGGCGTGGACTTCCAACCCTCTCATATTTGACAATTCTTACTTCAAGTATGTTATAGAGCCCTTGAGTCTACTTAGTTTTGTACTATTTTGGAGTAGGTTTTAAATTCCAACTTAATTTTTTTAATGACAGGGAGCTTCTTTCTGGGGAGAAGGAAGGTCTCCTCCAGCTTCCAACTGATAAGACACTTCTGGAAGACCCAGTCTTTCGACCTCTTGTTGAAAAATATGCTGCGGTATTTATCTTTTTTTGTGCATCATAGTTTGAATTGTGACTGAATAAATTTGGCATTGTTTTGGCATGATGTGGAAACGAGTTTGGCTTATTGTAGGATGAGGATGCCTTCTTTGCTGACTATGCAGAAGCCCATTTGAAGCTCTCCGAGCTTGGGTACAGTGCTTCCTTAATTGATTTGGTGCTTTCTATCTTCCCCCTATGTTTTTGGACTAGAGTTCTAAATGACTTTGATTTGTATATTAAACTGCAGGTTTGCCGAATGTTAAGATTTACTCGAGGAAAGCTAGGGCATTTAGACTGCTTGAGCCCACATCACATTTTCAATTCTTGGTTGCCTAGCTGTAGTATCCATCTACTTTGCTCCATATCTACAATATATTGAATAATACAAGTATGTTTTTTTGTGGCTGATTGCTCTCTACGATGTAATACACTCAAAGAATTGTCTCGAAAAATGCCTTTAAACTCTTGCTAATGCCTTATTGTATCAAACAGTCCGTGTCATCACTTGATTTGTGTTGATCTTTATATTACTGCACTATATCCTGTGATTGGAGCTAAATTGTAGCGGGATTTGAACCCACGTAGGCACGTACCAGTGCAAAAATGTTGTACAAACTACAAATACTACATGATACTAGGGGTGTAAACGAGCCGAGCCGAGCCCGAACTCGAGTTCGGCTCGTCAGCTTTGCCTAAAGACCGAGCCACTCGAGATCGACTCGAAAGAGCATTTTAATCGCAGATCTCGCAAATGGGCTTCCTGTCTTATGCCGTAATGGTTTGTGGGAGATTAGCCATACTTTATAGATGGATAGCACGGGTAACTTTTCCTCACTTTCCGGTGTGGGAAAGATAATCTTGGAGGTTTAAAATATAAACGTAGTATGAAGAAGTGGACTTGCGAACTACAAAAAAATGACAAAATGGGGGGATTCGAACTTATTTGCCAGCTCTTCTTTAAACCTGATGATGAATCACCAACTTGTCTACACCCATGATTGTTGCAATGATAATCTCAATTTATTTTTATCCTTAATTCGTACGGAGTATTAGACTATTAGCTAATAAGAAAATAAACACGTATTATTATAGATTAAATTACTACATACGGTCATAATAATAAAAAATACTACGTATTATATTTAATTATTATTACATTATTACAATATCATAAGTATAGCTGTATTAGAAATAGAGTCCTCCTAAATAGAATAAATATTCCAAAAATATTATATATATATATATATATAATTATTATGCATAATATATTTATATACAAAGCTCGCGAGTCGGCTCACGAGCCACGAGCCTAAAATAAATAGGCTTGACTCGAGCTTGTTAAGTATTCGAGTCGAGCCGAACTCGAGTCGAGCTAAAATATGACGAACTCGAGTCGAGCTAAAATATGACGAACTCGAGTCGAGCATTTTCCAAGCGATCTTCGAACGGCTCGCGAACGGCTTGGCTCATTTGCACCCCTACGAACGGCTCGCGAACGGCTTGGCTCATTTGCACCCCTACATGATACAAATACTAGATGGTCTGCATGATGAAAAGTTGAAAAATGAAATTATATTTTAGGAACTAATCATTAAAATGAAAAATATGCGAAAGTTTCAGTTTAGACTTTCATATCATTTGCAATTCAATTACATTTCTAGACAATCGTGAATTTGAGTTTTTATTCTTTAACTTAAAGTACGCCTCTGATTTGTTTAAAAGGATGGATTAAGGAAGATAATTACACAAAATAGAGAAATGAGAAAAATAACGTAAAAGATTGACTCATGGTTGGTACTTGTGATACACTGATACCTAAGGATGAACAATAAGTAGAGACTCTAGAGAGTGCACATTTGTGGATGTATTTAAGAGATTAAATGATTTTTTAACTTGTAAATACATTGAATGCAAAAAGGAAAGAGAAAACATTATTGAGAGAAAAGCATCCTTTTATGTACTCCTTCCGTATTTCAAGTTCTCTATATTAGGTTTGGGCATAACATTTAAGTGTGAAATAATGTGTAATGAATAGTGTAGAAAAAATAGGAGAGAAGGTGAAAAAGTATGAAAGAGAAGATAAAAAGTAGGAAAAGTAAAGTTAACTGAGTATTTTGAAAGGGAAAAACTTATCGAAAAGGAAAAGTGTATCAAACTTTTAAATACATCCAAAAAAGAAAAGCGTAGCAAACTTTAAAATACGGAAAGAGTATACAGAATTGATATTATTTACATTTTCTTTTAGATTTTTCAAACAATCATGATATTGAGTTTCTATTTTATTAGAGAAACTATATGTTCCCCTTTTTTATTCTATAATTTAGAGTACACCTGGTTTGTTTATTTGAAAGAAGAGATTAAGGATGAAAATTACACAAAATAGAATAGTAAATGAGAAAAATAATATAAAAGAATGATGATAGAGAAATACATGGTTGATACTTGGATGTGATGCCTAATAAGGATGAATAATAAACTAGAAATTGAATTTGTGGATGTATTTATGAGAGATTAAATGTTTTTGTAACTTAAATACTTCTAGTGCAAAAACGGTAGAGAAAACATTATTGGTATAAGATTCTCCCTCTTTTATGTAGGGGTGGACTGGTTCCGGTTCGGGCCCGGTTCGGGCCTGGGCCCGGCCGGGCCTCGGTTCAGAAAAAGGAGGCCCGAGCCCGAACCGGTGGTGGGCGGTTCCGGTTCCGGTTCCGGGCCAGAACCGGGCCGGGCCACCCGGAATGTTTTTTTTTTTCTTCTTCTTCTCTTATTTAACCCCCTACCCCTCCCCCTCCACCCCAAACCACCCCAAACCACCTCAAATGGCCCAAAATACCTAATCCAACCCAAAACTTAAAAAAATTTCAAAAAAAAAAAAAAAATTAAATTCCGGCCCGAACCGGGCCCGGCCCGGCCGGGCCGGTTCGCTAAACTGGAGGCCCGGGCCCGGACCGGTATACAACCGGGCCGGGAGGCCCGAACCGGAACCGAACCGGTTCACCGGGCCGGTCCGGGCCCGCACAGTAGCGGGCCGGTCCGGTTCCAGGCCGGTTGGCCCGACCCGAGTCCATCCCTACTTTTATGCATAACTTATTCACTTTCAAAATCCTGAGTTACCTTTACTTTTCCTACTTGACGAGTATTACACCTGAGTTAACACATGAGTATTATCGAAACTTACCCCTTTTCTCTATCAAAATGAGTAAAGGTAGAGAAAACATTATCGTTTAATTTTCTGATAATACTCATGTGTTAAGATCAAGACCCCGTTTGGTATTACCGAAATCAGCTGTATGTATTGGCTGATTCTATTGAGATTTATGAAGTTCTGGCTGAAGTGACTGAACTGGCTGATTTTGTTGATTTATGAAAAAATATATTTAAAATATATTTTATTAATAAAATAAATAAAAATATATGAAAAAACAACTAAAAAGATCCTCTACATTAACTCAGTGAATACAGTCAGAAAAATAATTACAACCTTACTTTTTCTTATTATGTAGTACTCCAGTTCTAAAACAAGTTCCAGTTTTGACTTCACTGGAAATAAAGTTGACTTTACCGTGGAGTGCACTGTTTGAACACTGTTTGACAATGGTTGACACTGTTTTGCACTGTTTTGATGTAGATAATTTGCCAAATAAGGAAATGTTTGAAAGTGGAACTTAATTTTGGTACTGCCCGAAAAGGAAAGATGCAACTTGTTTTAGAATCGGAGGGAGTATTACACAATTCAGGGCACAAAATGAAGTTGTTTAGTAAAAAAATTGATAAATAAGTCTGATAAGTCGAAAAACAGAATCACTAAACGAGTTTCAAATTTGATTGTTGCGGCTTTAAATGTTTTTAATAACGTATCTGAAATATTACTCCTCGAATAATTTTATATTCAATTCAATTCCCTCTTTAATTTTCTCATTGATGAAGTGTAACTATTCATTTCTACGTAACATACTATCTACGGTCTACCTGAGAATTGTATACATTTCTGTCACCATCTTGTCAATTACAACCCAAATAGCAGATTGCACGTATCTTCCATTTCATGTAACAAATTAAATGGATATAACAATTGCTCGAACAGGAGCGATCCATGTAGTCGTAATAGTCTAGTCACGTTGGCCAATTTCCTCGCCATATTGCTTATCGAGTGATATGACGATATCTATAGATTGAATAATATCCGGAGATAATAAAATTATGTAATCCGAATGAATCAAATACATTTATTTATATAATACGATTCGTTTTTGTCATTAATTAATAAATGTTACACGAATATAGCACCTCATTTTAATTATAAAATGATTCAATCAACATATCCATTAATTCGGATTGATAACCAAAAATTATTTTTTATTTTAATATCGTTTGAGCTTAACTTAGGGTGTATTTTGCAAAACTATGTACGTATAAAAATATATTTGTGATTTACATTTTATTTAACGAGTTTCTCCTTATTTCTTTGTACGCCTAGTTAATATTAAAAATTATAATCTTTCTTTTTGAAAAGCTACTCAATGTAGTTTCTAAAAAATCTCACTCTCTCCGTATATTTTGATTCATTTACGTTTTTTTTGGGAAGAAATATGTAATCTATATCATTTCACTTTTTTTTTTTTACATAAATCACAATCACAAGTTTTATTTTTCAAACATTTTATTAATAATTATATGAAACTAAAATAAAGAAATAATAGAAAACTTAAAAGATAGGTAGTTAAAGGCAGGTACTTGTACAGTTGGGACCTATGTCTCCAACAAGTGCCGTTCGTCAGTCAACCTTTCACGATCAACGGCAATCAACCTTCTCATCAAACCCCCCAAGTCACGCAACTTATGTTCTGCCAACATAAACCTGCGTCCTTAAAATGAAAAAACATAAACCACTGCGACGTGCAAAGCCTCCGGTCTTTGAGTTCCATGCCCACCCTTCTGAACTATTTCTAGCCCGCCGAAACTGGGAACTTATTTGTTTTTATAGAAATCAAGGCGAACAGCAGGTAAAACCCCAGCCCCTCTTGCTCAATTAATTAATATATAATGATCCCGTTTTTGTGTGTTTAAGCGTATGGCTTACAGCCGTCCTTCTTTTTCGTTCCGATCTGTTTTCTTGTGCATAATTTGATTGATTTGAGACTGTATCTATGCGATTTGATATGTTTTGGGTTTTATATGTCTGCAAAAATTGTAGGTCGTTGATTTGAGATCCGTTCCGGTTAAAGAACACTGATTGTTGTATATCATAAGCCAAAGAAAAATTTAAGTGCGAAATTGATTCAGAAGGTGGTGGGCAAAACGGTCAAAATTGGAACCTGGGCAGGAGTGTTTATATGAGAGATGGCACATTGGCACTGTTAATTGAAATGTTCATGTGACTGGTATGCTTCTTAGAGAAACAGTAATGCATTCATCAATTGTAGGGGGATTATTGCAGGGTAGCTACGTCGGGAGAAATAATGAGATTGATTCATTGATGAATGGTGATGCATATCGAGGTGTGGGTGTTGAAGAGGGACTTCTCAATCCTACCATGGTCAGGACTATGGATACGAACGCGTACCAGTTTTTGGGTGACGAAATGGTTTCTGTACATGGGATTGGAAATACAGGACAGATCACAGCTATGCAGCCAGCATATATAAAAGAGGGAGATATTAAACACTCCGCTCTGGCTCCAAGAAGTCGTCAAGAGGAATCAAAAACAGAGGAAGAAGGGGAGTTTTATGTGTCTGATCTAGTATGGGGTAAGGTGAGGAACCATCCTTGGTGGCCAGGGCAAATATTCGAACCTTCTGCTGCATCACAGGAAGCAAAAAAGCATTTTAAGAGCGACAGCTACCTAATAGCCTTCTTCGGGGACCAATCATTTGCGTGGAATGAAGTGTCACAGATAAAACCCTATC